TGTTCTCTTCGTCTTGGTTAATAGTGTCTCCACGGTAAAGACAATGCCAGGACACCTTAATTAAAACAGCAGATCACCGCAATGCATTTACCCTCTGCTGAATCCTTATTCCTATCTGTGCTAGCTCCTAATTTATTCTTAAAGATGCACATTAGACTTCTCAGCTCCAAGGAGTTTTGTCTGATTCCCCGGGCTGGGTGAGCATTTCTCTATTGCTGTGTTTACCACATTGTATTATAACCTGTCTCCTCATTATGTCTATGAGCTTAAGAGGTATTTGTTTTGTTTTTGTTTTGTTTTGTTTTGTTTTTGCCTCTGCCTAGCATTTGGCATATAACCTACCATATACCAGGCCCTGAAAGCATATTTTGCTTAGAATAAATGGATGAGTTTTTTGTGTACGTGAAGATACAAGGAAAAACATGATATTGTAAATTTGTACTTCAGATAAAAAATGGGGAAAAACTTACTTTATTTCACTAATGTACATTTGATAAATGTGTAGAAAATAGGGCAATATTTTGAACATGTTCCTGAATATAGAGAAGAGAGGAATTATCTCTAAGGGATTTCCTTTTTATGTGGAAATGAGCAGTGTATCAAATGTGAAGGAAAATATGAAGCAGAGTAATTTCTCAGGTTGCCCCTGGACAGTACTTTTGCTCAGTTATTGAAGGGAATCACCTTAATTTTTAGAATTTCTGGGTCATGGGAATTGTGATCATAAGCTTGAAACATTGATATGAAAAGATAAGGGAACTTTGATTTCTGAATTAAATATACTGGGAACATACATCCTCAATAGAATAAGAAAATAAAAAACTTACTCATCCAGGAAAGGATTTTATATGCACATCAAGCAGTAAACACTTGTCTGAAATGTTTGCATCCATACTATTTTGACATCTGGTCTTTGTTCTAATGCAAAGGGCTCGTTGGCTCAGTCACATCATCAGTAAAATCACCTGTGCTAAAATAATCCTTACTCTTACCTTCCCTTTTCCCTGAGCCTCAGTCAGATGGCTCTCTTAATACTGACATTGTATTTGGTGAGTGAACAATACAATGCTTAGGGAATTATCTTTTGTGATTCCAGAGGACATCTATTGCTTTTGTCAGCCTAGCAAACCATTCACCCTCTCCTGGTAATACCACCCTAATTTTCTTTTTCTTTTTTTAAAGATTTTGTCTATTTATTTGACAGAGAGAGACGGAACACAAGCAGGCAGAGTGGGAGAGGGAGAAGCAGGCTCCCCGATGAGCAGGGAGCCCGATGTGGGGCTCGATCCCAGGACCCTGGGATCATGACCTGAGCCGAAGGCACACGCTTAACGACTGAGCCACCCAGGCGCCCCCACCACCCTAATTTTCTTAAGACATCATCTACTCCATATGGTTGGTTGGGGCTGGCCACACCCCTTAGTCCAAAGATGGACATGTGAACCAGCCTTGGCTAATCTAAACATCATGTCTCCCTGTTGATAGTGATTGGTTCAACAATGGGCATGTTAGCCAAGCCCAGCCAATTAATTCAGTACTTTAATTTTAAGAGTTGGAGAAGAGATGTACTCTTTCCATAGGATTTGCTGAGAAGATAGGTTGTAGGCCTAAAGCTTCTGGCTGCCATCTTGCCATTTTGCCATCAGGAGGGGAGAGCCTGCCTGAAACCTGAGCCAATGGAGAGAAAAGCGGGGACAGAGAGACAGGGCAAGAGTGAGTCCTGGTGACATTCTTTGAGCCTCTGGATCGAGTCACACTCAAAGTGAGGCTAGTCTCTAGATGTGACCCAAGAAACCTCTTTTTGCTTATGTTAGCTGGAATTGGTTTTCCATCACAGGCAACCAGAAACAGCTTATCTAATAGCACAGTCCTGGAAGGAATCTACAGTGATGGATCAAAGAGGACATTTCTGTGAATTCTCCGAAAGCCTGCATTCTTGGAGCAACTTTTCCTGGGTTGTGAGGCTCCCCTTGAATGGTCCTCATTCATGCAGAAAATCAAGACCAAGTGAGCTTTTGCCTGATTGTTTATTTGATCAATTGGTTCTAGAGGAGTCCAGTTAAATGCCTCCCCTAATAGACTCTGGCCTTTACCTGTGCCTGTTCCCATCCTGCTAACAAACAGTCCGTCTTAATTACAGGAATTCTCTCTGACAGCTAAAAACTTTGCTGCATTCTTAAATATCATATCTCCTAGTTTTCTCTGAAGCATTTTATTTTCTGTCCTAAATTTCCCAGAACTAGCTTAATACAAATAATGGCTTAGACTTGTTTAATTTTTCTATGCCTCACTTTGACATCCACAAATGAGAGATTTACACAAGTCCATACTGACAACGCTTCTATGGTTATATCTGGAGTGTTTTAGGTTTACAATCTCGTTTAATCTTCTCAATAATTGTTTGGGGGTAGATATTTTCTTTGAGATCTTGTAAATCCCTAATTCTGAGTTTCTATATTTAGAAATAGGAGAAATATATATCCTAATACCTTCTAAGGAACATGGACGCTTACATGAGAATGTAAAATTATGATGATAGGGATGAATGTGCAGATCAAGATAAAAATCTTGAGACCAAAAATATATCATTTTAACAATCCTGTACGAACAACTACCCACGGACAACAGCAATGGAGTCCAAGGGCGCTGACAGTCTAAATAGCATCACCGCCATGATTCCCCGACCCTGCTGCTTTCTTTTCTCTTACAAATTAGATCTTCAAACACTTTGCATTAATCAGTGATGGGAATGGAGGAAAAGGTTAAAGCCTATTGAGATGTCCAAAAACAAACGCACAGAAAAACATCAGTTACTTTTCAAAATTGAGAAGGATTTCAAAATCCATGAAAAGCCCCCAAAGAATGAATGACAAAAGGCTGAGAAGTGCAAGCAACAGTGAATGACTCTTCCTGGAGCACGAGCAACCGGGTAGGGGGAGATGAGCACCCCAGGCTGAAGGAAGCCCTGGCCAGAGAGTCCCGGCTTAGCAGGCCTTCTCTAGAAGCAGAGGCAAGCCTAGCCTGGAATGTGCAACCTTCTCTAAGGTGTGCTTTGAGGACAACAAGGCAACTCTCCTGGCTCCTAAATCATCTCATTATTTGCCACAACTCCTGAAATTCTACTTTGTCATCTTTTCCTTTGGATCTTGAAAGGCTTTTAGCCTCAGAGGCTCCTTTGGAGGAGGAGTGCCATAAACCATTATTTGTTAGAATTAAGAGACATTCTGCCAAGGGTAAAGCCTTATAGGAATATGGTGGAAGCTAGATATCCTGATGGTAGGGAAAGAGGAGGGCTGAACACTGTGGGGGAGAGGAAAGAAGGTACCAGGGGGCAACGACAGGACATGAACTCATGAGCTGGCCTCAAAGAACAGCAAACAGTTTTGCCAAAAGTTATAAGAAAACTCCTGCAAAAGTTTTTTGCCTTTTCTACAATTTTTTAGAGGGGTTCTTCTTATTTTTCTAAATTTGTCCACAGTCTTTAAGTTACTTGGAAACTGTGGCATCTGCCTTCAGCAAATATACTTAAACTTCCCCCACATTCACACATTTCTCCAAAATCAAATACATTATCAGATTTAATAAAATTATTCAAAAACTGTGCATGATTTACTTCAGGCCTCAGCCCATTTATTTAAAGCTAAGTACACAGGGACAGATTGTTATGTTAAAACTGCAGAACAGAGACTGACTGGTCTACTAAACATAGTTGAATTAAAATCCTAGAGAAAACTTTTGATAAAACTTATCTCATTCCTTAAGATTTGCTTGTCTCCACATAGTCTAACCCAGTGCCTGCACACGGTATACGCTCAATTAATACTTGTTACAAATACATTTAATTATGATAATCATAATTAAATGACTATATAATTGAATAATTAAACTACTTTTCAAATTGGAAGGAAAAAAAAGAGGATAGTTTCATAACTATTGGAAAAGTTTTCTGTGGTATAAAAACAAGGTAAAGTGCAAATTACCCCCAAATACACACACACACACACACACACACCACATTTAAACCAGAAACTATAGTTTCTTTACTCTCAAACTTCCTTGGGCATATTAATTATATCTGAAAATTTGAAAAGGCTACTCTCCTAAGATATTAATAATTGAGAGCTGTCACGAAAATAAATTCAAGATCAGGACATAAAAAATCAGAACAGTGCCCTACTTATTTTCTAAATATTGATGATTTAAAAAAATGCGCTTACCCCATTTCGACTGTTGACCCCAGAAATGAGGGTATGCAGTAGTCAGCAGCTGCCAGTGTATAAGGTGGTCGAGCAGCAGAATCGTCCCAGTAAATGTCCTTCTTCATCTTAGGTAAGCTCATGTGCATTTCATCCACAGCTAAAAGAGAGACCTAAAATCATCGTTTTATTGTTAGAATTAATTCGGTTGTGAGTTGTATTAAGAAAGAAAGTTCCAGTGGGTGGATGGGATTTGCAGGAGGATAGAACAGTCTGAAAGAGTAAATATACAAATGTCTATTGTTCAATATTTGTTGTAACCAGGGCTGCCACACAGTTGTACATGTTGTTTACTGCACAAGAGCACTTGGCAATGGGGGTTAAGTGGGCCTATAAAACTGCCCAGACTTGGTTTGTCAAGCCACATTCCCAGAATGGAGCAAGCTATGTTTTACCTGGAGGCAGGAGAGACAACTTTTTCTTCTTTGTTCAAAGTTACTGTGTTGTCTAATGGTTATCCTGACAACAAACTTAAAGTTCCAGATATTATAGGAAGTTGAAGAGTCTCAATATCCCATTCTGTTGATTCCATAAACATACTTATACTTGATATCATTTCTTATGTGGGTTGATTTTTTGTTTTTTTTTTTGGAAAACTATATCAGCAAGTCTACACTGCCTGGGGCTATATAGCGGTCTCTTCCTGACTTTGACACACTGATGCATGAATAAATTATTAATCTTCTGCAAATCCAATTTTTACAAAGAGCAAGTGGCCTAACCATTATGCTTCCTCCCTGACAGACTGACAGTGTGATTGTTGGAGAAGGTCAATGGAGAGGAAGTAACCTCTGTTGACCTGAGAGCTGAACCCAGGCAATCGTAGGTCCCTCACCCCCCACCCCTCCCCTGTCATTGGAATGTACATTCTGCTCACTGTTCCCACAATGGAGCCACTTCAAGGACACAGCCTTGGGAGAGCAATGTGTTGTTGAGACCATCTGGACTGAAAGTGTGGCTGAACCCAGTTAAGGCCTCTGTATAAACTTAGAAGATTCTGGCAGGTGGGCATGGAGATCTACCTGTCTTTCGGCCACCCAAGCCAAGTATGGTCTCTCAGTCCCCTTGCTTAGTCAACCTGCCACCTACCAATCTGGAGTGGCCTTTCTTCCCTCTCTGCTGACCCTCCACGTTCGGGCCAGTTTGTGAACCAACAGTGATCTACGGTGAAACATTTGAACCTCTTTAGGAGCTGAGTAAGAGCCTGAAGCAAGTAGACAAATTGAAATTATTTTCTCAGCCTGTGAGAAAGAGAATGGTCTGAGGAGAGTCCTGCCAGAAAGGAAAATTCTCTCATGCTGGTTCTTCATGAAAAACCTCTCTGGAATAATGCTTTGGGGTCAGGGTCCTGGGGTCCATTTGGTTTAGTTCAGGCAGATTTGAGACACAAGTCGGTGTGGCCCACATGCCCAGTGTCCAGCTGCATAGTCATCTGACCGCAGGCTCCTACATCACATGAATTCAGGAACTCACCTCACACCAGATCATGTCTGGCTGCCATTTTATGTCCCTGCTAACCTCACTTGGGTGGCAACAGAAGACAGATGAAAGAATGGATGAAAATATTGCTCTGTAGTAAGATGGAAGAGGCTGTGTAAAGCTAACAAAGAAACTTACAAAGAAAATTGGCTTGAAATTCTGCTTAAAAGGGACTAAACTTCACTGCAACGGACGTAAGACAACATACTGAAAAGCCAAACCTCTTTCATCTGTGACTAAAGCTCTGAAGTTCAGGGGCCTGTATTCAGAGTCTGTTCAGATTTGAAACATCACAAGTGATTCATTATTTATATTTGCACAGGAAAGAGAAGCTCCTCTAACCTGCAAATTTCTGTCAATGCACCAGTTGGTTTCAAAATCATCATCATCTTCTCCAAATGGGTTGATAAGCTGCTCAGCTACCTGCAGTTGAGAACATAGAATAAGTCTATCATGATGCTTGTGAAGACTAAGAATGCAGGCTGAAGGTGATGAAGATGAAGATGATGCCTTTTGCTACTTTCATAATATGAAGCCCAGAGGGGAGTGGGTCGTTTCATGGACACCGATATTTATCCACAAGTGAGACTTGACTCTCAGACCATGAATGAAGCACCTGCATGGGTTTGCTCTCCAGTGGATCTGTCTGTTCAGCTGGGGACAGTGCAGGCCCTCCCCAGGAGAAGCTGTGTACCGTTCAGGAGCCAAATGATTGATGTTCAGGTACAAATCGAGCCAGTGAGAGTTGAAGGAGCACTGACGAGGTGCAAGGCACTGTGCTGGGCACCTGCAGGGCTACGTAGCCTGTGATCTTAAGGAATCTACAAGGGCCCAGGTGATGAGACAAAATGTAACCACAGGGAAGATAAAACAGCAAAGAAAGACTTAAAGCACAATTAAAGAAAATAATACAAGGACTTTTCACATTTATTGGACATAACAGCTAAATGAACGAGTCAGAGAGCTAGCAAGTCATAAAGCTGGAATTTGTCTCACTTTGTTTTACTCTAAAGGATTTTCTGGTACCTGGTAAGTCAGTTTTCCCATGGAAAAGTTTAGGTAGCTCCTTATCGCATTTTTTTTCACATATTTTCTAAAAGTTAATCAATATGAAATGATCTACTGTGTTCCAGAATTGAAGAGACTTGATGAGAGATTTATATGCCAAATATGTAATGCTCCTTTTTAAATTATCCCTTTGAGGGGTGCCTGGGCGGCTCAGTTGGTTAAGCATCGACTCTTGGTTTCATCTCAGGTCATGATCTTGGGGTTGTGAGATGGAGCCCCACATGGGGCTCTGCGCTCAGTGCAAAATCTGCTTGGGATTCTCGCTCCCTCTGCCCCTCCCCCCTCAAATAAATAAATAAATCTTAAAAAAATCCCTTTGATTTTTATTATCTAGATATGTCTGTATGTGTGTGTGTGTGAGAGAGAGAGATATTTTACACTGGGTCTAGATGGGAAAAACAAGTGTATAAAATAAAGGCACCATTGATTAGTTGAGTTTCTATATTCTCAGACTATTTGGTAGAAAATCTACCTACTTAATTTTTAGGCTTTAAGTCTAACCACTAACCACTTAGACCAGCTGTTCTCAATCTTGGATGATCCAAATCACCTGGGGAACTTTAAAGGGCCTTGATGCCTGGGTCCCTCCCTCAGAGATTCTGATTTAATGGAGGTGAGGTTGAGTTGAGCTATCAGTACTGGATGAAGCTCCAGGAGATTTTAGTGTGTGGCTGGAGTTGAGAACCATCGACTTGGAGAGGCGCATCTCGCTTGTAAGTGACAAAACTGGGCAGCACCTGTGCCCCGAATCAGTCAGCTTCACAGCAATATCCATGTCAAAGTCCTTTACTGCAACTTCCAGGGGTTATGCACCCTTTCTGGCCCAGGGTTTTCCTTAACTGGGCCACTGGATAGACCCTAAAAATATTTTTGTTACATCCAGAATTTCACTTTTATGGCATCAGTCCTGTATATAGTATTAGAGTCTACATTTACCTACCCAAATGATTATGTTTCTGGATTGACTATCTCAAAAAATATCCTTTACTTTCTTAGAAGCTCCCTTTCCAGGAAATAACTGAAGTAATATACTGTGTATAAGGTTAATATGGTTTTTGTTTGTTTGTTTGTTTTTGTTTTTACACTTTGAAAAGATTTATAAATATTAGGATGGGAAAGATAAAACAGCTACTTAGAAAGTGAGATATAATACATTGGGTGGGAAAATACTTCTCTTCTTTTAGGGTTGTCTGTCTCTTAAAGGAGCTAAGATTGTATTTTCATGTTTTGCCTTTAAAAGTATTTTATAAAGGAACAGAATGTTAATATTTTAGAGAGCATTTCAGAAGGCAGGAACTGCTAACAGTTCCAAACACGCTGGGCAAACACCTCGCAGGGACACAAAGCAAAGAATAAAAAGCTCAGCACAACTCAGGGCACAGGACAATAAAAGACCAGAATGATCGAGCATTTGGGCCAGCGTGGTGATTTTCTAAGACTCGAGTCTTCTTTTTTCTCGAATGGGAGACGAGAGCTATTAGTTTCTCTTGCTCTTTCTCTGTCTTAAATGGGTAAAAATAATTAAGAATCACTGTCACCCGGCTGAAAATGTTTTTGCCAATTATAAGGGACACGCCTTTAGTTTTTGAAGTGCAGACATATTTATTTTCCCTGGTTACGATTCAAACCAAAAAGTAAAGGCACTGGCGGGGAAAATTTTGCCACAGCCTGGAAGGCCGCCTCAGTGCCCACATGCAACATGTGGCTGGCTGGAAGGTCAAACATTGGACAATTGGATTTTATTCAAGTCATCTTCAAACTGTCATTAGATTTCAATTAACTTAATGGAGCTCTTATCTTTGTGTGTGTGTGTGTGTGTGTGTGTACTTCTCTTTCGGAGGTTCACAGAAGAGCTGGAAGACTCAGGCCGTGGTGTCTACGCATGCGTCCAGGGTGGAGGGGGGGAGGGGAGGGGAGGGGAGGGGAGGGGAGGGGGGTGCTGGGGGTGGGGACAAGTGCAATTCTGCACTGATGGTGGGACAAGTCCTTCTCATGGCTCTGACCTGTTTTTAATTTCCTGGCAAACCGAATGTTGTCATAAATCGCGGTGTTTCTGGTTTTGATTCTGATGAATCATTTTCTGAGGCTCAGTTCTGGTTTTGAAAATGGGATGCATTTAATGTGAGACAGCTAGTGGGATTTCAGAGAGTCGCAGTTAACTACGGAGTTGAGCCGAACCAAGATAATAATACAATACTAATGCTTAAGGCTTCTTATTTACTCTCTTGTACTCTGCCTAGCTGCCTACTGTGGTATAAAATATCAAGGCAGTTACAGTTATTACTTTAATTACATTACTATAATCTTAATGGGAGCACACAAAGACTTAAAAATCAGTAGCCATGAAAGAGTGTTCTTGTAATCTCTTCGCTTCAGATTGATGTAATACGGTACTCACCACCTCTTGAATCCCTACTTTAAAAGTAATGACATCTCTGGGCGATTAAATGTTAAATCTACCTTTGAAGGGCTCCTGAACGAGTGACTCAGTAAAGGACCAGGGTGCAGAGTGTAGAACAGGACAGGGATTACAGAGCGGATCTCAGGCATGGAGACCGTGGGCTACCTTGAGCCATCCTGCATAGAAGAAGAACTGCAGGAGAGTGAAGATTGGAATGTAAAGGTCTAAGTCATGCCCCGCGTAGCCTTTGGTGGGATCCAAAAACTGGCGTCCAATCAGGCAGGCGAAGAAGAAGGTGTAGACAGCCAGCGTGACAACCTGTGGTGGAGAGAAGCCGGAGTGAGAGCCCGGCGCCCAGCACCCACGGCAAGTAGCGAGGAAAAACCACGTGCAAAGTGTTCGATACCTGGGTGTAGACCAGTGGAATCCCAACCCAGTCATAGCCAAATAAGAGGCTGCACCAAGAGCGATATTTGTTCATTTCCTAAGCCAAAAACAGATAAAACACAGTTTACTACAATGATGGGTGTGGCAACAGATATTTCCTGGGATTCATAATATAGCCATGGCTTTTATGAATATGTCTGTAAGTGATGAGGCTGACTTGGTAAGGCTGGTAATTGGTTCTGAAGGCAACTCCAAAAGGAAAATTCTGAAAATGACAATCAACATCATTCCACAATGCAAAAAGGATGACTACAGTTGGACATTTTAAAAAATATTAAATCAGCACTTTATAGAACTATCCCCTACTCTGTTGAATCCATAATTTCCAACATGTATATTGCCCCAAAGTGGTGATGGGAAGGCAGGGGTTAATATTTTAAATAAGGTTTATTTAACAATATTTTAAATAAGTCATTTCTATCCATTTTGGTAAATTTCTGTGGAGAGCAGACTTTTTGTTGTTGTTGTTGTTTCCCTACCTCTTTTGAAAATATGCTTACTATAGATTTTAGAAAAAAAGAGGTGCACGCCCCCACCCTCTCAAATGAGGACTTTACAACACTTATATTAATAGAAAATATCTCTCTTTGGAGCAGGAAGGACTCGAATCCATTGATTCCCCCCCCCCCCTTTATCATGTGTAAGTTATTATGTAAGACTGGGAAGAAGAGTTAATTTGGGAGTTATTTTTATAACATTCACTCCTTTTTGCCTAATTCAGGCAGAAGACTGTCATGGTACATGTCTATCTAGCCCTTCTGTAAATTTGTTTCTTAGATGAACTCAGGGTTATTTCATTTAATGAAAACATCATTTTGTTTCCTGGAGTATCTGAAAAGTTGGCTTAACCTCAGGAAATTCCAGTTTGCGGGAACTGACTGGGCAGGTTTATTTGTACTCCAGATTTTATTCTAGGATCCTGGAGCCAGGGATGGTAAATATGCCACGTGGGCACCAGATCATTCAGAACTCTTGGCAGCTATTGCTAATCGATTAAGGGACACTTTCTTACAGAGCCTATTACAAAGCCTAATTCTGTTTAGACAGAGTTTCCAAGCAACCACCACCAATCAATATGACTTAAAACCTGTGTATTATTCCTGTCCTGCATGTTGAGGGTTCTGATACTAGCCCAGTCTTTCTGGTTCCTTTGGAACCAGAACAACCTGTTACATCCAGATGCCTGTTGGTCTCTGATTAGCATCTTATACTGATGGTTTGTGATGTACTTACAGTCATCAATGATTGCAGATCAACACTGTCTCTGATTCTACCTTCCTTTCGGGCTTTAGCTGCAAGATTTCCAAACCAGATGAATGGAACCCAGTATTTCAGATGAGGAGATTTGAGATGGTCAAATAATTTTCTTTCATCTGTTGTCATAAAACCTTTAGCACAAAACAAAAATAGTGCAATTATGCAGAATTAGTT